CTAGATGAGTTGATGACGCACTGAACGCTTCAAGATTTAATCACTGGATCACTTTACAAGTGTATAGCCGGGAATGTCCCGTTCTACCTGCATCGTCTCCTTCAGCTTCTGGGAATGCTTCTTCAGCTCACTGATGCGCTGGCCTCTTGTCTCCAGGTCGGCCTCCAGCTTCCTCATCTGCTGTTGCGATGCTGCTTCTCGGGCCTCAATGTTTCCCCTTTGCTCCTCCGTTTCCCTTGGCTGCCACTCTTGGCATGAATCAGCCGGGGACTGCTGCTTGACCTTCCTCCAGGTCTCTTTGTCTCCCTCATGAGAGGCTTGGAGCTGGCAGGCTTTCTTGGCATATTCTTCAGCTAATTTCTGGTTCTCCTGCTTGAGGGCTTCTGTCTCCCTGATCAGAGTCCACATTTCCAAGCTGCCCTTTTCATTTAAGATTCCCTTGATATTCAGTTTCTCTCCCTGTTCATTCAAGAGACTGTCTGATCCCTGGTTTGAAGTCCGGACTCTGTTTTCAGGGTCTGGTTTCATGTGTAGCATACCCTTGGGGAGTGAAATTTCCTCCTTGGCACGTTCGCTCTCAGTTGATGGCTCCCTCTTGTCCTCCTGCTTCCTGAATGTGGTGAACTCTGTTGAGGCCTCTTCTTTCAACGGCCTGCGTTGCTCCAAAGCTTTTTCGAGGGTCTGAATCCGCTGCCGGAGCTCCTGTTCCTTCTCCACTTTCCTCTTATAGTGGAGGGCAGCTTCCCTCGTCTCAGCAAGGATGTGTTGAATCTCTTCTTGATGGGCCTCCTTAAGAGCTTGGATGCTGGCCTCATGCTCATCGTTTTTCATATTCAGAGCATAGATCACCTGGACCCACAAGAGAAACAAAAAAAAAAATGCTGTTGATATAGGGCAGTACGCTTTCAGAAGGCCTTTATTACAAAAATCAAGAAGTATAAAAATACTTTTCTCACACATACACACACACACTAGGGGCGCCAGCCTCCAGGTAGGGCCTTGGGGAATCTCCTGGAATTAGGGTTGCCAAGTCTGATTTTCGCCACAGCGGGGGACTCCCGGCTGGCGGCTGGAGTACGCGTGCGCGCCGCATCCATGTCACTTGGAAGTGACGCAACCACGCCGGGCACGCTGGGGGCGGGGCCACGACCATCCGAGGGAAAACCATAGAGTTTTCCCTCAGATGACCGTGGCCCCGCCCCAGCGTGCCCAGCATGGTTGCGTCACTTCCGGGTGACGTGCATGTGGGGGTGGGGTTCCCCCCGGGGCCCGATCCGCCAGCGGCGGGGAACGGGCCTCTGGGGTGGGGTTTTCCCCGCCCCCGGTGGGACTTGGCAAACCTACCTGGAATTACACCTCATCCCTAGACTACAGAGATCAGTTCCCCTGGAGAAAATGGATGCTTTGGAGGGGGGACTATGACACTGTGCCCAACTTAGGTCCCTGTCCTCCCCAGGCTCCACCCCCAAATCGTCACTGCTGTTCTCTGGGTTTTTTTCCTCACCTCAGTTTTGAGGCTGAGGAGACATTTTTCTCTCACAGCATTCCTGAGGTACACTCAAAACAGCTATCTAATGAAGGCACAGAAAACTAAAGATGTTTTGATCGGGCACTTGATAGAGAGTACAGTTAGTTCCACAAGGCTGCGTCTGTCTGAGGAGGGTTTTCTGCCTCAGAAGAAGCCCTGTCCCTGGTTACTATTTGCCCAACCTCCATACTGAGAAGGGGCAGAGCAGGGCCTCAGAAGAGGCAGGTTTTGTATGGGAATGGATAGTCCTTCAGGCACCCCCTGATTCACAGGCTGAGACGATACAGACAACCTTTTTAGCAACTCACTGTTTTCCATGATGGATATGTAACTGCCTTGTAAGGTGCTAGTCCTGCCAAGGGAGGAGAAGTTCACCATTCCTCTGATTCCCCAGATTTCTGACTGGGTAAATAAATATATGTGGTGAAATTCCTCTCAGCGCTCACAGGGTGTTACACTGACGGGGTTTCCCATCCTTTATGAGCCTGAGGGCACCTCTGGAATTCTGACACACATAGTGGTAGTGAAGTAGGCATTTATTATTCCTTGCCCATATAAGGGGATAGTTGCTGTTCATGTTCCAGTCATAAGGGGGCAGAAGTGAGCTTGTGTAGTTTGGGAGGGAAAAGTAAGCCTAGTCAATGGAAAATTCCACTTTGGTGATGTAAAATGTGACGTGTAACCTTGTTGCAGTATAAAAGCCTGGAGCCTGCGTTGCTCTGGGTTCAGTCTGTTTAAAGCGTGCTTCGCTGACTGAACCGGCGCCAATAAAGTTCTTCTCCTTCTGTTGATCTGGTGGTCTGTGCTTGGGCTTAGGCCCCTTTCTCCGTGCTACATTTCTGGTTCCCTGACCGGGAAAGGGGGGAGCACCCAACCAAGGCCGGGTTGTTGGGGCCCTCCTGAGCCACGATTTTGAAGAGAACCGCACTGACTGAGGACTGTTTGGCGGCAAAGGCGCCATTTTCGATTTCGAAAAGCCGATCATTCACTCCTCTCCAGGGCTGGTTCTCACCAAAGTCGCTTGCTCAGTGAACTCAGCCAGGAGGAGAACATCAGGGGAAGACTCCGGAGTCCAGTCTGGTCAGAGTCAGGTCAGTATTAATCGGTATCGGTCCCCTTCAGTTGAAGGGAAGAGGAAGCCTGATCACCTTCCTATCGGGTCAGTTTCTGTCAGGCAGGCTAGGAAAGCCTTGGCTTTCCTATGATCAGGGTGGGATCTGTGTTGAAGTGAATGCATGGTGTGTGAGTGTGAAAAGGCGGACTCCCGTAATAGGAGAAAGTCAAATTGAATTGTGGTCACCTCAAGCTCGCATTTCTCAGTCGAGAGATCGCATCTGAGTCGGGTACAGGTGGAAGCATTTGTGGTTAAGGTCTCCCTTTTATGTGTCTAGGAGCAGTGGACCCCTTACCACTCTCCCTGTTTACCCCACCCTCTGTATACCCAGCTGTCTGTCTTTTGTCTGTTCAAAATGGGAGGGAGTCAGGCAAAGCCCAAAACCCCTCTTCAGTTTATGCTCAAGCACTTTGAAGAAATTTTTGGCACAGCCACTCATGGCGTAGTTTTAAATCCAGTCTGTCTGCAGACATTTTGTGAGGTAAACTGGCCTGCGTTTACAGTGGGATGGCCACCAGAGGGCTCCATGGATCTCTCTCTGCTACACAGAGTCTATCTGGCAGCTACGGATCCCCAAGAGGACCATTCCGATCAGCAGCTCCATTATGTCTACTGCTGGTATGAATATGTGAGGAAAAATCCTTCCAAGGCCAAGCGATTTAAAACCCGACAGGGCTCTGCCCCAGCAGCCAACCAGCCTATAGTTTGCCCAACACCAGGAACTATGCCAGCAATTTGTCCAACCCTGAATACCCCAGAAAGCAGGCCCCAAGGCCCCCAAGTGACTTGCCCGCCACCGGAGGATGATTGGCCCCCACCATACTCTGCTGGGCCATTGCCACCGCCTCCTCTTCCAACTCCGCCCCCAGAAGCAAGAGTGACTAGATCACAGACTGCGCAGGCCCGTGCCGCCCAAGAACTTGCAGCCCAGGAGCAGCTTCAGGAACTGCAAATCAGTGAAGCGCTTAGCCCTTCAGTGCCAGTCTCCACCATTTATCCATCCTTAGTGGACTGTTTGGCTACTGCCTCTGCTCCTGAACCTGAGACCCCTGTCACTCCCATACCTAAGACAGTCCTTAAGAAAAATCCGACAACAGGGACCTGGAGCCCCGCCACTCATTGGAGTCCTACATCAGGACTCAGTGAAATGAACCCTTTTAAAGTGCCTGTAGGCAAATCTCAGGAAACTGGCAATTTAGCAACAGTCTGCCCTCTCCGTCAAGTTCCAGCAGGAGCGGATGGGATTATGAGATGGGTCTATTCTCCTTTCAGTACTGTCGATCTCTGTAATTGGAGAACACAGACGACCCCATATAGTGAAGACCCCCGACCCATGACAGATCTGTTTACAACAATTATGGCTACACATGCCCCTACCTGGCGAGATTGTAGCCAGTTACTTACTGCTTTATTAACTTCAGAAGAGAAGCGGAAAGTCATGGCAGCTGCTAAGAAAACTGTTGAAAACAGAGTCCCTGCTGACCAACAGCCTAATGCAGCTGACTGGGTTCGTGCCCGCTTCCCAGATATAGACCCAAATTGGGACCCCAATGTAGATGCAGATAGAGGAAGATCAGAGGAATACCGAACTGCCATCCTCTTAGGTCTCCAGGAAGCAGGAAAGAAGCCCATGAATATGGCTAAATTGAGGGAGGTCATTCAAGAGCCAACTGAGCCACCCTATACCTTCCTTGAAAGACTGTACAAGGCTTACCGCCTCTACACTCCTTTTGACCCAGAGGAAGAAGCAAACCGTACAATGGTGAATGCATCTTTTGTTAGCCAGGCTGCACCTGACATTAGACGCAAATTACAGAAGTTAGAAGGGTTCCAAGGGATGAACGTGTCCCAATTAATTGAGGTGGCCCAGAAGGTTTTTGTGAATAGAGATAAAGAAGAGAAGAAAGAAGAAGAAGCTAAGCATAGACGAAAGGCAGCAATTTTAGCAGCAGTGATCCAAGGCCATGAGTATGACCGCCCGTCCCCAACATCCAACCTTGAGCCCCGTGGTCCTAGAACCCTAGGCCGGGACCAATGTGCATACTGTAGAGCGGATGGCCACTGGAAAAACGAATGTCCGAACCGCCAGTCCAGACTCCGGGGGAGGGGAGGATCTAGAGGCCAAGGAAGAGGACAGAGCTTTAACCACCTTCCAAGAGGGCAAGTTAATGAAAGCCGGTACAGCCGCACCTACCCTGCAGGGAAGTCGGAAGATGGCTTTGTTGGTATGGCCGGAATGAACTATGATGATTAGGGGCGACCGGGCTCTGTCAATTGTGGCCCTCGGGAGCCCTTGGTCCGCTTAAATATTGAAGGAAATCCTGTTGATTTCATGTTAGACACGGGGGCTGAAGTATCCATTGTAACGACACCCATTGCTCTGCCCACTAAAGATAGCCTAACAGTTGTAGGCATGGCAGGGAAGAAACTTGCTCTCCCATACCTCCAATCAAGAACCTGTTCTCTAGGAGGTCACCGGGTCACCCACCGTTTTCTCTTAAATCCCAGCTGTCCGATTAATTTGCTTGGGAGAGATCTTTTATCTAAAATGCGTGCCTCCATAACCTTTGATACTCCGGATGGCTCAGCACTTCTGTCCTTACCTCCAGAGACTCAAACTTCACTAGTGTGTTGTAATTTAGAGGTTGATGCTACAGAAGAGTGGCGACTTCCTGAGGTCCTAATGGGATGTGGATTTAGAAGACACCCTGATGGTGACCCTGAAGAAGTCCAGTATCAGACTGATAAAGATGCTTTTTATGACAAGGAAAAGGTGCAGGATAAATTGTACTACCGAAATGAAGTGCCAACTGTATGGGCAGAAGATAATCCCCCAGGCTTTGCTAAACACCAACCTCCTGTAGTTGTGGTCCTTAAACCTACTGCCAATCCAGTGAGAGAGCGTCAATACCCTATTCGTGAAGATGCCCGAAGAGTGTTAACCAAACACTTTCAGAGACTCCTGAAAGATGGCATCCTGATCCCCTGTGAATCTGCCTGGAATACTCCGATCCTTCCAGTACCTAAGCCTTCTCCAGACCCCAAGAATCCTGATTACCGCCCAGTCCAAGACCTGAGGGCAGTGAATACTCAAGTAGAAGCTATCCACCCTGTAGTGCCAAATCCCTATACAATCCTGACTCTGATTCCATCCACGGCTGCATGGTTTACTGTCTTGGATTTGAAAGATGCGTTCTTCAGTATTGGACTTCACCACCAGTCCAGAGACATCTTTGCCTTCGAATGGAGAGCCCCTGGAGCCTCCAGCCCATGTCAGTACACTTGGACTCGTTTGCCCCAAGGCTACAAAAATTCTCCTTCATTGTTTGGACAGGCCCTCGGTAAAGACTTAGAGAACTTTGACACCCAAGAAGGGGTCCTTACCTTAATCCAATATGTGGATGACTTGTTACTTTGTGCCCCTGACCCTCATCGATGTTCCCAGGGCACCCTTAACCTTCTCCGTCTCCTTGATGCCTGTGGCTATAAAGTCTCATTCAAGAAGGCCCAGATCTGCTTAACTCGAGTCCAGTTCCTAGGATTTGAAATCTCTAAGAATCAACGGTCTCTCAGTAATGCAAGGAAAGAAACTGTGTGCCAGATACCTCTACCCCAGAGTCGCAAAGAGCTACGAGGCTTCTTAGGTGCAGCTAGCTACTGTCGGTTATGGATTCCCTCCTTTGCTCTTTTGGCCAAACCCTTATATGAAGCTACCAAAGGGGGGACACAGGAACCTTTTGTCTGGGGCCCAGATCAAGATGTTGCCTTTAGGACCCTGAAACAACGGCTCATTGAGGCTCCTGCCTTAGGACTGCCAGATCCAGAAAAACCTTTTTCCCTTTGCGTAGATGAGAAGCAAAGTGTTGCTTTAGGTGTCCTTCTCCAGAAACTTGGGACTCACAATCGGCCTGTGGCCTACCTTAGCCAAAACCTGGATGCTGTAGAAGCCGGTCTGCCCCCTTGCTTACGTGCTGTTGCTGCCTGCTGTAGACTTATTGAAGCAGCAAACAAATTCACCTGGGGAGCCCCACTCACAGTGTTTGTATCACACGGAGTTAAGACCATTTTAGAAGCTCGTGGTCACAAATATCTGACAGTTTCACGTATGGCCAGGTACCAAGCAGTTCTCCTCGAGAACCCAGGTGTATCTCTAGCTCCTGTCATCAACATAAATCCAGCCACCTTGTTGCCAGTACCATGTGAAGATGTTGAGCATGATTGCCTAGTAACCACTGACCAGCTGTTTGCATCTCGTCTTGACCTTCGTGACCAACCCCTTCAGCAGCCAGACTTAATATTGTACTGTGATGGTAGCAGTTTCATCAACCCTCAAGGACGTCGCAAAGCAGGCTATGCTGTTGTAGATGACCATCAGGTGATACAAGCAGAATCTCTACCCGTTGGAACATCTGCTCAACTAGCAGAAATAATAGCCCTGACAGTTGCCCTACATCTAAGCAAGAATGCAGCTGCAAATATATTCACCGATTCAATGTTTGCTTTCAAGGCAGCCCATGCACATGGAATGCTGTGGCAACACCGAGGATTTATTACAGCCGCTGGAAAGGATATCAAATATGGGCCAAATCTTCGTCTTCTGCTAGAAGCCATCAATCTGCCAACTAAGATTGCAATAATCCACTGTCGAGGACATCAACGGAAGTCTGACCCAATTGCAGAAGGAAATGGTCGTGCTGATAAAGCAGCTAAGGAAGCAGCAGAAGGAAAACTTTGTCTCCGCACTCTAGTTCCTAGTCCGTCAGTCTTAGCCTGTCCTGTCTTCCCCACTCCAGTCTCAGCTTGGACGCCTCGTTACACCAAACATGAAGACTACCTCTGTGACCAGC